CCCTCTCCCACTCCCCCTGCTTGTGTTCCCTCTCTCTGTCAAATAAATAAATAAAATCTTAAAAAAATAAAATGAAATGAAAATATTCAAAGACAAATCTTAAAAAAAAAAAAAAAGGCAGGGGGAGCGCCTGGGTGACTCAGTTAAGTGTCCAACTCCTGGTTTAAGCACAGGTCATGATCTCAGGGTTAATGAGACCAAGCCCCGCATGAGGCTCCAAATTGCGCGGAGTTTGCTTGAGAGTCTCTCTCTCCCCCTGCTCACATGTGCGTGTACACACGCAGACACGCGTTACTTTCTCTCTAAATAAAATCTTTAAATATATACATATATATAAAAACATTATTCAGAGAAGAAATCCAGTTGCCTCACCAGACTAGTAAAGACATCTGGCACAAAAAAATGCTTAGCCCCACTACAGATACCGGAACTTTCTGTTAATTTTTTTACCTACAAACTATTTACACAATTATCTCCTCAAATTCCAATGAAAGGGGGGGGGGAAATCACTAATAATCTATTCAGGAATTACTTAGTATTTTCTACTGCCTCAGGGCTAATCTTCTCAAAAAGAAAGAACAAGAGCAGTTCATTTCAAGAATGGTTAATTTTACCAGGAATAGTGCCTTAATCCTGACTTGTTTCCCCAGCACAAAGTAAACAAACCTCTCTCTATTGAAAGTGTGATCAACTAGACAGGGTAGGCTGGTGCCTAATGGTCACTCAAACCCCAGCAACCCAGGATACAAACGCATGGCAAAATTCCTCCTACAATTGAGTGCCAGCAGCAGGGACACAGTCCCCATCCTGGGCCACCGTGGGTTCCTCCCTGAGGATATATTTTTAAAAAGTTGTTACTGATTGATCCCAAATGTCTCTGGAGTATTTTAAGAAATGAAGTGTTAAAATAAGATAGATATAAGTGTTCTTCGACTACAAATATTCATAGACTCTTAACTGCTAAAAGGTCAATTTCACAACACTATGAAGTACATGAGCCTATTTACATAAAAAGAAAGGGGTGGGGCACCCGGCTGGCTCAGTGGTTTAAGCGTCACTCTTGATTTCAGCTCAGGTCATGACCTCGGGATCGTGAGATCAAGCCCTGCATCAGGGCTCTGTGCTGGGCCTGGAGCCTGCTTGAAATTCTCTCTCTCCCTCTCCCCCCCACCCCCTCCACGCTCTCTCTCTTAAACACAGACACACACACACACACACACACACACGTGTACTGACAGATGCAAGGAAAATGCCTGGAAGCAAACACAGGAAGTTGTTAATAGCAGCATCCTCAGTGGATAGAAAGTTGAAAATAAGACTGGGGGTAGGAATTTTACCATTCACCTTGTGTACAGTTTAGAATTTTTATATTGAACACGAGTTATAGAATTAAAAAAAAAAGTCTACGGATTTATGTAATGGTTTTTAGTTCCCCACTTTCCACCTTTACACTCTGGTGATTTCCACAGATATGCTGATGAATCTCATTCTTAGATTATATCTTAATTTAACTGCACTTAAAACTTGAAACTCGTTCAGATTCAAAAACATTTGGCTGGCACTGCTCATTGTGGAAGTGACTGGAAAGACCCACACCTGGCAAAACAAAATGGGAGACAGACTGTCCAATTCATCAACCAGCACAAGGTTTTTGAGTGGTCTTGGTTGGAAGAAGAACGTGTCTCCTTCTTCCAGAGGCATGGCAGATGAAAATTCAGGTTCTTCATCATCATCTCCAAGATGTGCAATTTGATATAAGTAACTAGGAGGAAGCACAGAAGAATTTAATTAAACACCTTCTGTCTAAAGATGATGTTTACCATAAACGTAACACTCATAAAGCACTTTACAAAAATCTAATCAAAATTCTAACGTGCATTATTGAGTCAGCTTCTATACTTCAAAATCTGTTCATCTAAGTGGGGTTTTCTTTCTTAGAATAGAATGGGATGAAGAAATTAAGACTACTGAATTCAGGGGGCATCTGACTGGCTCAGTCAATACAGGATACAACTCCTGATCTTGGGGTTTTGAGTTTAAGCCCCACGTTGGGCACAGACTTTTTTTTTTTTTAAAAAAAAAGGACTACTGAATTCAGACTAGGTACAATGAAAGACCTTAGTACCACAGTGGTTAAAAGCACCTGGCTTGCACTAGAGTGCCCAGGTTTGAATCCCAGCTCTGCCCCTTAACTACCTCATATTATTAATCTCTCTGTGCCTCACTTGTATCAATTTATAAAAACGAGTAGTACCTTCCCATAGAATTCAATGAGTATGTAGAACAGGGCATGGAACTAGTAAGAGCAGTGCTTGTCAAATAAAATGAAATAAACGAAATCCAAAAAAAAATCCCATTTACACTTTAGGGAACTGGGTCACAGAGAATGTGTGAAATCTGTAAACTTGTGAAAGAAATCTGATCAGACACCTAAGTCCCTAAAATAAATGACATAAATGAAACGAAATCAGACACCTAAATCCCCTAAAATAAAATGACATGAACGAAATCCAAAGAAAATCTACAACCCCATTTCCTATTTTAACCAAAACCAAGTCTAACAGAAAACAGGAACTGTTGGTCACTTTGCAACAGCATGCAGATATTACAGTATCATTCCCCAAAACACTCCCCATGCAGATATTACAGTATCATTCCCCAAACCAAAACATAAACATATCAGAGGTAATAAGCAACAAAATCATCTTGTCCTTTTCCTGTCTGTCCTCTGGCTAATAATACTTAATGAAATGATTCAAAGGCAAGTCACCAAAAAAAAAAGAGGTAAAGTAACTTTAAGAGTAGATAATCTAGAACAATCTACCATCATAAGCTGAGTATGCACTGAACTTTTGGGAAGAAGCTCAATTTAAAAAAGAAACACCAAATCACTGGTCATGTTTATCCTTTAAGTAATAGACCAGGGCCTTTAATACAGAGCACTTTAAACATCATTAAGTGTAGCTTTTTAGAAGCAGGATAAAATGACTAAATCCGTATCTGGAATACATAAGCTATTCAAGAAATATTTGCCAAATAAGCCTCAGCATTTAACACTTTTGGTAAACACATCAGATTCTATGCTAAATTATAAAAAAAGCAAACAGGATTATTATCCTTGAACAATGTACAAAAGCACTGAGAATATGATACACATACAAAAAATTAATTAGTATAAACTCCTTACTCAGGCAAGAGGTGTATACACAGATGAAGACCATCTGTCAAAAATACCTTCAGTGTCTACTAACTGCCTAATAACCAGAAGGATGCTAGGCTCACTACCTCCATCAGAGGGAAGGTCAGCTAAATCTTGGTAAAACAGTTTCTGTGACTATGGTGTTGTGCTTCAGAGCAGAATTTTGGAACCAGATGGTCTGGGACTTAGGTGTCTGATCAAATTTCTTTCACAAATTCTGTGACCCAGTTCCCTGAAGTGTACATGGGGTAAGGGCAGTCTCACTGGGAACGTTATGCATTGATATTGTATTATTTGCAGTGCTCAGAACAAAGTAAATACTAAATGCTAACTGGTTGTAAATACTAAATGCTATTTAGTAAATACTAAATGCTAAATGCAAATAGGTTGCTTTATGATTGAGTTAAAACCGACAGCACATGTTTCTGAGGGCCCAAATCAGCACTTTTTAAGTATTCCAGACTTTAGCTTCAGCAGCAATGGATAATTTCTCACAAGCTCAAACCCATCTCAGTCTGACAACTATCCACCTGTATACTGCAGTCTTTCTACTCTCTGCCCCAAGAGGTGATTTTCAAAATGGAAAGTTTTGGAAAATGAGTAAAAGAGCAAATAATAAAAATCACCCATAATCCTAGGGGTATCCCAGAATAGTCACATTAACATTTCGTTCTATCTACTTCCAGTATTTTTACTTTCTAGTTTTTGTATGTAATTTTATTTTAGAGAACTGCATCATTCTATAAAAGAATTTTTCAAATAAGCAGTGTACCCTAAAATTTTTTTCATATCAGTATTTTTCACTCAAAATTTTTATTTATTATGGAAATTTTTAAACAGGTACGTAAGAGAGAATAGAATAGTATAATTAATGAACCTATATGTGCCCATCATTCAGCTTCAACAAAGGTCAACCCATGGCCAGTCTTATTTATATCCCACTTCTCCAAAATAATATTAGTTTCTTGATATATTCAAATAGCTAGTTAGTATTCAAATTTCTCCATTGTCTCAATATTTTTATTACTTTTTAAAGATTTGAGAGAGTGTGCACGCACATAGGTGAGGAGGGCAGAGGGAGTGGGAGAGACCGTCTTTTTTTTTTTTTTAAAGGTTTTATTTGAAACAGAGAGAGAGAGCTAGAGAGAGCTAGAGAGCAAGAGAGAGTACAAGCAGGGGAGAGGGAGCCCAATGAGGAACTCGATCCCAGGACCCTGGGATCATGAGCTGAGCCAAAGGCAGACATTCAACCGACTGAGCCACCCAGGCACCCGGGAGAGAGAGTCTTAAGCAGACTCCACACTGTGTGTGCATCCCGGTGCAGGGCTCGATCTCACCACCTTGAGATCATGACCTGAGCCGAAATCAACAGTCAGATGCTTAACCAACTGTGTCATGTCCATCTCAATATTTTTAAAGTAGATTTGTTTAGATCAGGATCTAACAAGACCCATACACTGCATTTAGTATATGGAAAACATTTTTAGTGACTGCATATTTTATGGCCATACCCCATATTGATGGATATTAAGGTTGTACTTTTGCTATCACAAATTATACTGTAGTGAATATTGTGGGTTTATCTTTGTGTGTTGGCCAAATGCAGCCATAGTTTAAATTCATAAATGCAGGATGAAATTTTGATAGTCAGTGAGGATGAGTAACAGGCATGTCTAAGAAAGGAAAAAGAGTTGGAGAAAGGCAGAAATGGGATAGAATTCTAGAATCCTAGACAAACCTTCATTTTAGTAAGGAAACAGCATTAGTTAAATGGCTGCACAGACTTTAGCAGATACTGGCAAGACCTGAACTAAAAATAAAAGGCAGGACCAAGTCTCTAATTTGGAGACTTAGATATTGGTCTTAAATTCAAGGCTAGACTTCAGACTTTATCCACTTGGTAATAAAAAGTCATCAAAGATTGTAAGGGAAAAGACTTCATCAAGGTTGTGTCTTGGTTGCTTAATGAGATGACTCTAGAAAGGCCAACTTTTACAGGAAAAACAATGAAATGTAGTAAGAAAACTAGTGAACTAGTTTAGACTATCACCACAAAAAAAGGGATACACAAGTAAAAAAAGAACTTAGCACTCAAATGAAAGTGGTTTTTTGTCCACAAAAATTGAGATGTTACACTCAAGTTGCTAGAACCAGCCCATTAGCCGAATAGAAATACTGAGGTTGGGAAGGTTAGTGATGTGGCTGTGGGTATTGACGAGCTTCAACTTTAGATTTGTACAAGTGAAGTATTGGTAGAACGTTTAAGTAGTTCCATAAATATTCAATAAAATGTCTAGCAAAAAGCTCAGAAAAGATCACTTCTGGGTAAAAGAAGAGAAAAAAAAAGATCACTTCTGAAGCTACTTTTGCAGCTACCTGAAGATACTGATTAAAGCCACTGAAGTAGGGTAAATAACCAAGAAAAACAATGTAAAGGGGAAAGGAGGGCAAAACTTTTGAAGAAACTAGAACATTCTTTTGGAAAGCTCTGTGGCCTTGGAGCCACATCTCCCTCCTGCCAACTTTTATAGTAACAAGGGTGAACTAGGGTAATAAAAGGATTACTCACTGGTTTCCAAATTCTGATGCTACAAAAAGGAAGCCTGTTTTAAGCACACACATGGCAGCAGCAACAGGCACAGTATCAAAATACTTGAGCCGAATCTCAGTAACCTGGAAGGGGGGGAAAAAAAAAAGATTCTACCATGTAGGCAAGTGAAGCTAGACCACAGAAGGTAGCCCAGTATTTTAAGATAGCAGAAGCAGAATAGCAAATAAAATATCGTCCTTATTATCTAAACCCGGGGTGAGCAAACTAAGGCCCAAGACCAGCCTATCTGTTTACATACTTCCTACAGCTGCTTCTGTGACACAACGACAGAGTTGTATAGTTGACACAGAGATTATATGGCCCATAAAAGCTGAAAATGTTTACTACCGGGCCTTTCCAAAAAAATTTGCCAACTCCTGAGCTAAACAGGTATCTAAAAAATTGCTCAGTTGTTCACAGAGCTCCTCCATAGGATGAAAACAGTAACAGATCATGGGTATTACCAGTTTTCAGCAGAATCAAGAGTTTTTTATTATTACTTACTAGAAGTGGAATTACTCAGTCTCATACATGAGACTCACACCAGAAATCTCTTAACCAAAGAAAACCTACATTCATATATCAGTTGCAAATTTTAAAAGCTGTAACACCTTAGAGAACCACTTTTTAAGACATTATTTCCATTTTATTAACTTGTAAAGTATTAATTGTCCTATCTCAGAGTAGTTTTAATGAGAAGATGGTTTATAAAACCAGTTTGTAAACCTTAAATGTACACATAAATATCAGTCTTTGAAATAAGATTATTTAAATATATCCAAACTAGAATACCACAGGACATTTTATCAAACCAGACTAAACCTAACAAAAGTGTTTTTTCATTTTTTCCCTCTCCATCCATGGTCTGCTTACCATATCTTCATCTGTCTCCAAAGTGATCTTGAAGATATCGCCCTGCTCAGTTTGGGCCAAAAAGAAGAACATCGACTTGGTCTTATGGGTGGCAGAGCAAACAAAAATCATTCCTCTTTCAGGGTCATCCAGGTCATTCTAGCAAAGTCAAATACAGAACCGAAAACTCAGAAATGAGTACTTATTTAGGGAATGTAGCACCTTACCAACAGGGATCATACAGGTCACCCACCCAAGGCCTAGAGGTACCTTCAGTCTCTATATACAAGGTTTGACCCAGAGCAGCCTGTCAGCCAAAAAATAAAATGCAATAGCCAAAAATTCTTGTCTACTATAAATGTGACAAAGCCTGTGTATAAAAAACAGCCACAGGGTGCCTGTGTGGTTCAGTTGGTTAAGTGTCTGCCTTCGGCTCAGGTCATGATCTCAGGGTCCTGGGATCAAGCCCCATGTCAGGCTCTCTGCTCAGCGGGGAGCCAGCTTCTCCCTCTCCCTCTGCCTGCCACTCTGCCTGTGTGCGCGCTCTCTCAAATAAATAGACTCTAAAAAAAAAAGGGGGCGCCTGGGTGGCTCAGTAGGTTAAGCGTCTGCGTTCGGCTCAGGTCATGATCCCAGGGTCCTGGGATTGAGCCCCCCATCGGGCTCCCTGCTCAGCAGGGAGCCTGCTTCTCCCTCTCCTCCCAGCTCGTTTCTCTCTAGGTATCTCTGTCTCACTGTCTCTCAAGTAAATAAATAAATAAATAAAAAGCCACAATTTCACTCTACATTCTGATCCAATGAGTAAGAAAAACACTTTCTCCAGAGAAAAATGTCAAAGAAAAGATATGAAATTTAAAAGAGTCATCATTTCAGACTATAAATAAAAGTCTTACATATCCATGACACTATCATCCAAACTATCCTTCATTAGCCTTGTTCCACATCATCTTCCTTAACTCCTACAAGGCAGCTCCTGAACTATGATTTTCGGTTTGTTTTTTTTTTACATTTCCAACATTTTGTATTTCTCCCACTGACTTAGCTCTTTGAGGGCAAAACATGTTTTATACTTTTTTGTAGTCCCAAAGCCAAGTACAAGCTACAGCTCCTGTAGCTCCTGCAGCTCCCTCCTGCTTGTGTGTGCACACTCTCTCTCTCCCCCCCACTCCTGACAAAGTCTTTAAGAAAAAAAAAAAGAAAGAAAGAAAACCCAAATGCAGTAAAACATTAAATTGGCGAATCTTCTTTCTGTAGGTAAAAGGCAAACAGGAATTCGTCAATCAATGTCTGACGAACCAAAGTGAATTACTTCCCACCCCTTACCAAGAATTTCACTTGATAGATTTCTTCTGATTTTCTAAAATTTATGGAATCTTACCCAGATATCATATTATTAGCTCAACTAAGTAAGACCTAAAAGGTTCAACCCCAGGACCTATAAATTAATATTAAAAATATATAAAACGAGGGGTGAAAGAAGAGACTGAGAAAGCAGGGATGAAACAAGATTAGCTGAAACTGGATATACAGTTCATTATATTCTACTTTGCATGTGCTTAATAATTTCCACAGTAAACTGTTAAGATTAAAATCAATAAAACACCATTTTCAGGGCGCCTGGGTGGCTCAGTCATTAAGCGTCTGCCTTCGGCTCAGGTCATGATCCCAGAGTCCTGGGATCGAGCTCCGCATCGGGCTCCCTGCTCCGTGGGAAGCCTGCTTCTCCCTCTGCCCACTCCCCCTGCTTGTGTTCCCTCTCTGGCTGTGTCTCTCTCTGTCAAATAAATAAATAAATAAAATCTTTAAAAAAAAAAAAAAAAGAGAGAGTTCAAATACGGAACTTAAAGACAAAGAAATCTCAACCAGAGGTACAGTTAGACTATCAGGTTGGCCACATCCAGAAACTAAGAGCATGATAATTAAGTATACCCAACATGCTTCCATACAGAAAAGCAAAAGAAAATTTCTGAAATGGCTTCAGATTATAAAAATTAAAACTTATGGCCCATATTTGGTGGAAAAGTAGAGTGTGAAGGGCAAGAGAAGCAAGTATTTCACTGCTAAGATAGGATTTCATAACTCCAGTTAGAATTAAGACATGAACTTACCCTTCCCACCCCACCCCCACTGGGCCAGACTGGCTTACGTACACTTTCCCTCTTGAATTCTCCTTGTGAGTATCATCTAGATACTGGACTACAACTGTCATCTTTACCTCTGGACCCTTACACTAAGTCCCACAATGAATGATAAAATAACATACAGGATCCATCTCAAAATAGACCAGCTCTCCTCCTGTCAGGGCGATCACCACCTGTCGCTGGTTCACTGCACATTTCACAATCGTTTTCTTTCCAGGGGTCTTCCACTCATTGACTCTCTTGTCTGCTCGTATGTGTCGAATGCCATCAGGATACACCTAGAGTCAGTGACCAGAAGGAAACTGGACTTTAGCAATGTGGCTCATTGCTTAGCATGACCCACACACCTAACAGATCGGTCACTCTTGTCAGAACTGGAGCCACTGCATTTCAGTCATCCATTGGGTCAATGACAAAAAGGGAGTTACTAGGCCCCGGACAAGTCAACTTAAAACAAGTTCATGTTTGCAACGTCCACTTCAAAAGAATTCAAAGCTCATTAATGTGAGCACAGCAGCCTACACCACAATGAAAGGACAAAGTAAGGTCAGTAAGTAACTCTCTGGGAACCTCACCTGCACCAAGGCATCATCTCCTAACAACGAGCAGGACAAGGTTGGGGTGGTACCCAGGAACCCAGAGTCAGTCACTTCTTCCACAGTCTCTCCGATGGACAACACAAGTGTGGCATTCACGAAAGACACAATGATGTAGGCATCAAACTCATCTGCAAAAGGGAAGATAAGAGGAGGCGGTTAGCTAAGAACTCATTAGTTACAAAGCTAACTGAGACATACTATGTTTTCTCTTCAGAAACCTTCCAAGGCACTTCTTCTATGTGTAGCCATCACACACACACACTCATGTGGCAAACGGACAGGATGATCCAAAAGATAATTGAAGGTCATAACAGCCTACAGATATACTTTGCTTCTTTAAATGCCTAAATACATTCAGAGTAGATATACCCACCCCAATACCTCCGAAAGCTAATTTTTCTAGAGACATCTGCTGGAAAAATGCAAGAAGACAAAGCAGGGTAACCAGGCAGGACGAAGTTCTGAATACTACAGTATTTATATATACTGAAGCTAGAGCTTGTTTATTTGTGCCAGATGCAAATCACAATTCATTTTTAAAAATAATCCTTATAACCAGGAAAGGTCCCCAGCCTCTTCCAAAAGAAGCTTATGTGGAACACAAGACCTAATGAATAAAACAGATTATTTAAGCTTCAATGAGACTATCATTCTCAGGTTCATAACTGAGAATCCCAGGATGTGCCAATAAGAATGAGGTAAGAGCATTAACCAGGAAGTGGGGGGGGATGGGGGGACCGTTTATATTGTCAGTCCTTGACCTCTCTACTCTCATTATTTAAAAATGCAACTATTTAGGGGTCATAAGCAACCCTATTAGGATTTGCTTTTCATTTAACAAAACATAGTTATGGATAAACAAACACTAATGAGTTTCTCAAAGTCAGAGGATCTGAATACAGGAAATCCCAGAAGTTTCTCATACAGATCCCATTGTTAAAGACCACCTATTTCCCATATATGCCATCCTACACATAAAACAGCTTCTGTGTGTCTCCCACATCCAGCACAACGTTGGGCATACAGCTTGATAAATGCTAAATAAAGAAAGATATATTTATTTTTCAGAAAGGATTGAGATTTCCCTATTTTACATTTGAATTTTCTGTATCAATTCCCCTTTCTGTCCCCCTTCCCCCATAAGAAATCAGGTGAACGAGGGACAGAACGACAAGTAGACAAGGTACTAAATTAAGGTGTTTTGGGGGGGGGGGGGAGAAGGTACTAAATTAAAGTGGCTACCTCACTCGTAGCCGAAGTAGCTACAGGACCCTTCGTGCCTAAGCCCTTGTCAAAGTTTAGTACCATAGGGCTGATCCACCCCAATCACATCAAGAACACAGTTCAGATTCTGATTGCTCCAAAGATGATTCAGCTGAACCAAGATTACTCAATTAGTTCAGAAGAATCAGTGTTCTTCACAGAAAAAGAGGCCAACTAAAGATGTATCATTGGTGTAGCCTAGAGTAGTATTCTGCCCTATGAGCAGGACATGTTCAACTTGATGAACTATAATCAGCATTTTTAAATAGAAATATATAGAAATAAATATAATTTATGAAATTGCTTTACACATGAAATTACTCACCCAGTAAGGGTGAGTACTGTTTTCCAAACCTGTGCTTAATACATGCATATACTGAATGGGTGGCTGAAAGGCAAAGATCAAAGATCTTTCCCAACGGGTATAATCCAATGGCTATACCAGGAATCCAGAATAAGTGTTCAAGTTCCAAATCATAAGGAGTAACACTGGAGAAGCGGATAGCTAGTTTTAGATTATTTTTGTTACAACTGTTAAGATGTATCAAATGCTTTGGAGACACCTTATAAAATGGCTTCGTAAGACAGTACTGTTCACCATCATGTAAGGACATGGTTGTCCCTGAAATGGATGTCTTAATAGTTTACAACAAAACCAAAATGAATCTCCACACAACACCAAACTTGGAAGCTTTACTCCAGCTGTTTTTGAACTGGAAATTTATAGTGTCTAAAAATAACAGAAATTGCTTAATTTTAACTATATGAATATTGTCCTTTCCCACATTCTCATTACTGAAACCTAATATCCTAAAAACTGTGCCAGAGCAAATTAAAGCCAAACAACAAATGGCTGTTAAATGGTCAGGATTTCTGGTCTCTTCCTTCAGTCAAGGGGAAAGGGAGAAACTTACAGCAAAGAGACCATGCAAATTTTAACTAACGTGCAAAAGAATGGGGAGACGAAGGAAGGTGGGCTGCCTGGGTCTTTATCTTCCCTTTGACCCAAGGCCCCGGACTGCTCAGATATAAAAATAAAAGAGATGCTCAGTGGACTTAATAGGGTCTTACATTCCCTGAGCAAGTCAACAAGCAGTAGAGCTGCTTTGTATCACAGATTTCCTCATAACATCTATTACTCTGTGAATACTAAGCACACTGTAACTTCTCCCGTCTCCGTTCTCCAGCCAGGAGGACCTATAGCAGGCTAGTTGCTCATGTCCTTGGGAAACTATAGGTTAAAAGTTGGAATTCAGGGCGCCTGGGTGGCTCAGTTGGTTAAACGACTGCCTTCGGCTCAGGTCATGATCCTGGAGTCCCGGGATCGGGTCCCGCATCGGGCTCCCTGCTCAGCGGGGAGTCTGCTTCTCCCTCTGACCCTCCTCCCTCTCATGCTCTCTCTCATTCTCTCTCTCTCAAATAAATA